GGAGGCCGGGGGAGCGGGCCGCAGGGCGCCCCAGGAGGCCAGGAGGAACGGGCCGCAGGGCGCCACAGGGAGCGGGGATTGGGGGGTGAGCAGGCCGCACGGCGCCCCTGGCCACAGTAGCAGTAGCAGTAGTGGGGGAGGCTGGGAGGAGCAGGCCCCGGGGAGCAGGCCGCACTGCACCCCGGGGCCACAGTAGCAGTAGTGGGGGAGGCCGGGGGTGAGCAGACCGCGCAGCACCCCGAGCCACAGTAGCCGGGGAGGCCAAGGGCAGAGGGAGTTGGAGCCAGCCAGGCCCCCCCATTCCTGCGGGAAAGCCTGGACTATGCAGGAGCAGCCTCGGGCTCCGATGCTGCTGTTCCCAGTGACCCAGGGCCATTGCAGCATCCTCTGAGCAGCCCTGGAGCAGTCCAGGTCAGAGACTCTGCACTCAGAGCCCGAGGAGCCAGAACACGGCCCTGGGAAGAGCAGGCTTTGCCCGTGTGTAAGCTGGTACAGCTGTGGTTACAGCGCCCCGGGCTCTCTCTGGAGTGGTCAGGTTTTTGTTTCAAGAGAGGCAGGACATCTGTGTGTCTGCTCTGCATGGTTGCTGCATTCAGGGAGACTCAGGCTCACAGTTGGCGTTCAGAGACAAGGCCAGTGTGCATGGCTTGCTGGCTGTCCTATATTTCTGCTCAGAAAAGGGGATGAGAATTTTCCTCTGGAAGAACAAGTAAGTTCTGTCACCTACACCATCACGACCACAACCTCGAAGGGACACAATGGCTCAGTCTCCCTTTCTTCCTGGATCTCAGTTGAAGGAGAACAAACCAGGATCTCCTGGCTGGGTCATGCCTTATTCTGCAGTTCCCCAGTTCTTGTCAGCAGATTGGGTGGCCGTGCCCCTGTGTCCTCTCAGTCCCCTTTCCTGGTTCTCACCACAGTCGATGGCCGCTGGAGCCCGTGGTCTCCATGGTCAGCCTGTACAGTCACCTGTGCGGGAGGAATCCGGGAGCGTTCCAGGGTCTGCAACAGCCCAGAGCCCCAGCACGGAGGGAAGGACTGCGTGGGAGACCTGAAGGAGCACCAGATGTGCAACAAGAGGAGCTGCCCCATAGGTGTGTGCACGGGAGGGGTGGACATCACAGGACTCACTGCAGGTGTGTGCACGGGAGGGGTGGACGTCACAGGACACACTGCAGGTGTGTGCACGGGAGGGGTGGACGTCACAGGACACACTGCAGGTATGTGTTAGGAGTACGCTAACTGGTGATACCTGTGATGAAGTTGCTAGCCTTTATTCTGATGAAGTCTATCATTTGGGGAAATAGAAACAGGACAACCTTTTCTGTGTATACATGGCGTTATGTTTGCCTCCTTACTGTGTGTGTATGAAAGCAGAGAATGTTTACAGAAACAGTGTGGAAATTGTGAAGTCAGGAATTACAGTGTGCACATGATCTTGCAATTTACATTCTGTCATTTAACAGTATTCTCCAGGAGGAGAGGTGGGTGACTCTCGATTCTCAGACGGGACGGACAGATGTCTGTCCATTTTCTGCGTTGTGGATAATTCTAGTATGTCTAGCGCATAGCTTTAGGACGTCTGAACTGGGACATGCTTCCTTCTGCTGAGCGCTGGGTGCCGAGTGAGGCCAGTGCTACCTGCGGTGTACTTAGTTTTGCTTCTCCACGTAGATGGCTGTTTGTCCAACCCTTGCTTTCCTGGCACGGAGTGCACCAGCTTTGCTGATGGGTCGTGGTCCTGTGGCTCGTGCCCTGTGGGCTTCCTGGGCAACGGCACTCACTGTGAGGACCTGGATGAGGTAGGTCTCTGTCCACCCTGGGCCCCAGTGCACCACAAGGGCCCCCTGGTGACTTCCATCTGCTTGTCTTTGCAGTGTGCTGTGGTCACAGACATTTGCTTCTCTACCAGCAAAGTTTCCCGCTGCGTCAACACCCTTCCTGGCTTCCACTGCCTGCCCTGTCCCCCACGCTACAAGGGGAGCCAGCCCTTTGGAGTTGGCCTGGATGCTGCCAGGACAGAAAAACAGGTAAGCAAGGCCCTTCCCGTGTGTTGGTAAAGGCTTTGAAGAAAATCAGGCAAGTCCAGAGAAAATGGAGATGCTATAGATAAGAGAATGGAGCTGCGTTTGAGGGGAGCTCTGAGGTGTATCTCCCTCAGAGAAGACTCTTCACTTGGTGATACTCCTCTGAGCATTCAAATCCAAGCTTTGGATCCAAGAATTCATGAGCATCAGGAACAACTTTTTTTATAAGGCCATTGATCTCTTAGTCTAATCTGTTGTAGAATGGTGCTCAAGGTTGGGTCAATTACAAAGAAGAGAGTCTTACTTCTGGAAGCCGGGAGGTCCAGGGCCATAGGCCTGGCATGTAGTGAGGGCCCCTCCGCCATGCTCCCTGTGGTGGGAGGTAGAGACCAGAGAGAAGTCTAGAGAAGGCAAAAGACTGAAGTCTACAATCACGAATCCACTTATGAGGACAGAGCTCTGGGGCCACACCACGGCCCTCTGTGTGTGGTTGGGGTGGAGCTCCCGGTGTGTGCCGTGGCAGGAGATGTTCAGTTCTGAGTTATGGAGGGACATGCTCCACCCACACAGAGAATGTGATGGCCATGCGAGCTGGAGCAGGCTTCGAAAGGATGCTCGACTTCTCAGAGCCTTGGCAAGGGCCTCAGACCAGGCCCAACTCCTGATACCTGCTCCCTGGCTGCCCCCATGGCCCCTGTCCACTCAGGAGGGGCTTCCGGGACACCCAGTGGCTCTAGCCATAGCCTTAGGCTTTCCTGACCAGGGCCTGTTGATGGCCCACATGGCCCTTGGTCCTGTAGGTTTGTGAGCCTGAAAATCCATGCAAGGACAAGACTCACAGCTGCCACAAACACGCAGAGTGCATCTACCTGGGCCACTTCAGTGACCCTATGTACAAGTGTGAGTGCCAGACAGGCTACGCAGGCGATGGGCTCCTCTGCGGGGAAGACTCGGACCTGGACGGCTGGCCCAACAGCGACCTGGTGTGTGCCACCAACGCTACCTACCACTGTGTCAAGGTGAGGCCCAACAGCAACCTGGTGTGTGCCACCAGCGCTGCCTACCACTGCGTCAAGGTGAGGCCCCTGCAACCTACTCCTCCCCACGGAGCCCAGGGCCACGGCAGCCCCTCCTCCCCACGGAGCCCAGGGCCACGGCAGCCCCTCCTCCCCAGGGAGCCCAGGGCCACGGCAGCCCCTCCTCCCCAGGGAGCCCAGGGACACTGCAGCCCCTCCTCCCCAGGGAGCCCAGGGACACTGCAGCCCCTCCTCCCCACTGAGCCCAAGGCCACGGCAGCCCCCTCCTCCCCACTGAGCCCAAGGCCACGGCAGCCCCTCCTCCTCACTGAGCCCAAGGCCACGGCAGCCCCTCCTCCCCACTGAGCCCAAGGCCACGGCAGCCCCTCCTCCTCACTGAGCCCAAGGCCACGGCAGCCCCTCCTCCTCCCTCTGCCTAAGCGTTGCTCTGCCCACCCCCCCATGCCTCCTGCTCCCCTCCACAGCTGCCCTCCCTCCCTCCCTCCGCCTGATCATTGCTCTGTCCCCCCCCATGGCCTCCTGCTCCCCTCCACAGCTGCCCTCCCTTTCCAGTGTATGCTCCCATCTTTACATTTCTCTAGACTGTCATCTTTTAGACGTACATGAAATTTGTGAAGACAGAGGAGAAGGCAGCATTTAGCATGTGTTTCCTTTAACCACAGGACAACTGCCCACAGCTGCCCAATTCTGGGCAGGAAGATTTCGACAAGGATGGAATTGGTGATGCCTGTGATGAGGACGATGACAACGATGGTGTGAGCGACGAGAAGGTAGGGTCAGGGTCATGGTGGGGCTGGGGGTGGTGGGGCTGGGGGCAGGTGAGGAGAAGGTGAGGAGGGGGAGGGGAGATGGCGGGTGAGGAGGTGGGGAGGAGGACGGGGGCGGGTGAGGAGAAGGTGGGGAGGGGGAGGTGGGGCTGGGAGGGGTAAGGAGGTGGGGAGAGGGAGGTGAGGCTGGGGTGGGGGAGGAAGATGGGATGGAGGTGGGTGAGAAGGTGGGGAGGGGGAGGCAGTGTCGGGCAGGTAAGGAGAAGGTGGAGAGGGGGAGGCAGGGTCGGGCAGGTAAGGAGGTAAGAAGGTGGGGAGGGGAAGAGAGGGGGGATGGGGTCGGTGAGGAGGTGGGGGCGGGGACATGAGGAGGAGGTGGGGACAGGTGGGGGAGGAGGAGGTAGGAACAGGGGTGGGGGAGGAGGAGGTGGGGACGGGTGGGGGAAGAGGAGATGGAGACGGGTGGGTGAGGAGAAGTTGGGGGCCGGGTGGTCCTGCCTGTCGCTGTGGGTTTGGATGTGGCACTGAACAGCCCTCCTGGGGCCCTTGTCTTGACAGGTATTGGTACTCAGTCTCAAAAAGTCACTGGTAGAGAAAGCAGGTTACTTGCAAGACAAATCAGGCAGTGCCCGGCTCCATGGGCAATCTGCAGAAACATGAGGGAGGTGCCATGAGTGAAAGGGTAGTACCAGAATCAGTGCCACACTGGCCATGGGTGGGAGTCTGGAGCTGGAGTCAGCGCCACGCCGGCCAC